TGTGGGCTGACTGTAATATGAGCCCAGGTCATTTTCATTTAGATATCTTTTAACGGTGTCAGACATTTGTCGGCGGCCAGTTTTTTTTTTTCATCTTAGAACTCCTTCCCATGATATATTAGGTTATTAAAACACCGAGAAAAGCTTGAATACGATAGCGTAATGTTTATCTGTGCTTCGATCGCGTAACGGACACTTCTTATAGATTACACAGGATATAATAAAGCTGGATGGTCAACAAATCAGTATGCAAAATTCGGACCAAAGATAAAGAAAGTACACAATATAAGGTTGCATAATCCGGGATTTTTAGAAAAAAGTTTTTTTTTTCTAGTTTTTCCCCTCTCGCTACCTTAATATTATTTATTAAAGCTAACCGTGTCTATGTATGTGCGTCTGCGCAGTACACCTCGTTAGAGAGATTTATTTTACCTCTGTCTAAAAGAACGTTGGCACAGTGAGGGAGGCAACATATATCCACAGCTCAATTCATTTAATATTCAATATTATTTATCAAAGCTAACTAAAGCCCATGTATATGCGAGTATTTCAGTGCAGTAAACCAGGTTACAGAAATTCAATATTCCCTGTCTAAAAAAACAGCCGTCCACAAATCAATTCATTCCACAACTCAACGGAGCCAAATTCAGCCAGATCCCCTTCCCCATCACCACCGCCCAGGGCAGATTGAATGAATACTTATTTTGTTTTTGATAGAGAAGGGAAAACTTTATTGGATCGATTGATGTGTCGGGTGATTCGTATGTATTTGGTGGGGGTACATAAAACTCATTTTACAACTGAATAGCACAGTGAATAACAACCGCAAATGGAATATTTCAATTAAAAAATCGTGCTCTTTATTTATATATTGAAAAAAAAATCATTTAAAATATGAAAGAAATCTCTTCCACGCGGAAGGTTTCTTCTTCTTCTTTTTCGTGAATAAGCCACCCAGTGCGAAATCCGGGAATTCATCACGTAACCACAGGTTTTCAACTGAAAAGAAGAACATGTAATTTGTATCAAGATAATCACGTTTTATAACGATATTTCACCATCACATATCTGATAAAACATGACTGAATAAAATGCCCGTATATATAAAAACCAACGAAATGAAACAATAACACCAAGTAAATAACAACACCTGTTGTACAAACAGTTGACAACATCACAAGCTTACTTTAAGTAAATATAAACACGTTTTACATTAGATTGAAGAACATTTGTTACCTTTTGTCTTTTTCATCTTGTTAATTCGTCCCTCAAATTCGACTTTTTCTAAGGGTGTCTCAAACTCAAGATTCATCTGAAGAAAAAGTTTTTAAAATGTCAATCAATTCAAATATAATCATTCGTCAATTGATCGATATGCGTTAACTGGCGCATGTGATTCTTGGGTGGTGACGGGACAACCATGTATAAATTGTACACGACATTCGGTGAGACTGGATACATCGCGGGTCAGTACATCGGTTTGTTGTTTGAAATGTTCAACAGTCCCTACACGTCCCATGGCAAGATACAAGGACTGGGCAAGATATATACAATAACACAAACAACGCGATAAAATGGACAAAATCGACACTGCAATGTACGATTGAAAACAAAAAAAATGTGTTACAGATTACAAACTTACAGATTTTCCTTTTATCTCCATTTCCAGTTCGCGGTTACTTTTACTTCTTACAATGGTCACGCGTTTGGGTTTAATCTCGCTCCAGTCATTACGCTTTGGCGAAAAAAATAAAAAAGACAAATAAACGTTTGAATTTCAAAAGCGATGTGTATGTACATGGGAAACATAAATCAACCAACGAGGGGCGGGGGATTGTTGTCTCCGACTTCCATAATAAACACACGTGACAAATCACGACATTCAACGAGATAAGATATTTGTAAAGATACTTACATCGTGGGGTTTCTGAATCAACAGCATATTATCATCGGTTAAAAATACGTAGACATCCCAGTGATTTTTACCTTTCTTCATAAAAATATTCGTAACAGCCCAAAATACTGACGTCACAACTAACATCTGAAATGAATAGAACACACGAATTCTTGATTTAAACGCGTTGCACTTTGTGTGTGTTTTGAGATGAACGCTAGACATAAAAACATGCCCTACATCCGGTGAGAAAGTTACGAATCTATGAAAACAACGTATAAAAACAAAAAACATACGAAAATGTATCCACACCGCCCGAGGGCGCCATTGTATTACTACTTACCGTCCTCTCTGATTTCTTCGTCATACTGATACGATTTAATGCAGGGATTGTTTGACTGTAAAGATGTATTGAATACCCAACACTTGTAGTACAAGCCAAGACTAAAATTTGGAACTCTGATCAAACATTCTATCACTCTCATTGTCATGTCGTCATCAAACGCACGGAACGTTTTCCGACAATGCCGCAATACCACGTGACTTTGACGTCATTGCGTCATTGCGCGTTCGGAACAGTGTGCACAGTCTCGAAATCATAACCAACGGAAGTAATCGTTATAGTCAGTTGTATAGTGACAATTTCTTTTGGGAGCTGAGCACAGTTCACACGTCAGCAGCTAAACCGCTTAATTTCATGTGGGAAATTCAAAGAGGGAATTCGAAATTTAAAGCTCAAAGCCAGAAAGCAGTCTTCCACCCAGAACATAAACAGTAGTCTATGGCGAGCTTGGCGTTGGGGTATCATATAGACAGATACACGGACGATTGCTGCGGAAATTCTATGAATATAAATATGTTTCCTTATTAGAATATTCCTACTTTGCAAATAATTATGTAAATTGTCACTTTCAGAACACTTCCAAAAATATAAATTGTATATATTTAAAGTAGAGTGGCGCTTACATTCATATTCATATTCAGCACTTAATTTCTCATAAACCAATCTCAACAGTCGATAGTGTATTGTAGTGTGGGTATACATACTCCATGCGTTAACTATGTGTAATAGTAACTACGTGTAGTAGACTGGTCCAGTCGTGGCAATTTTATTGTTCTATGTGATAATTTCGTAGAACGAGTTTGTAGAATCTCTCGCTTTGGTGCGAAATTTCTCGTCGGACCAAGATTTAAAAAAGGAATTACAAAATTGCCACGGCTGGGCTATTCTATGCGTCCAGTTGCATTTCGGGATACCTGAATGTCCATAACTAGGTAGCGAGAGAATTTCGTTGCCAGAAAAGTTCCGGAGTTTACAACTTGCCCAAAATGCAATCAAGAAATGAGAAATCTAACAGCAGAAACAATTTTCTTGAATCGTGAAGCAAGTAGTGTCCCAGTGGTTTGTGTAATTGCTTTGCTATGCGCACATATTTTCCCAAATTGTTTTATCAATACCTGTGTCCGATAAGAAATTATGTCCACATGGTTTTAAATTACCAAAAAAGATTATACCAGAAGAAAAATAGTGACTGGCCCAGTTGGTTGAAAAGTATGGCACGTTATACACTAAAAGTGAGATGTGAAAAGTCTTCAGTGCGTATAGAACGCTTATGTAGATACACATTCACTGTAAAAAATAATTACCAATCAACCAAAATGTCAAGAATATGAAGATCAGCCGTTTAAAATGCTCGTATTTGTTATGCCAATATTTTATTGGGAGAAATAATACAATGGTTCAAAGTTCGCACCCGGTTTTCTGTTTATTTTTGTGGCTACTGTAAGAACGCCCTCTACCAAAAAGTTTTAAGTATATTTTGTTTTTTATAAATGTTAAATCCGACTGAAATTTCGAGGTTTTATTGCAAATTGTTTTCCATAAATAGTTAAACCGTATGGAAATAAATGGAATATACAAATATTTGTTAAAACCCCAACAGAAATACACAGAAAAAGGTGAAGGGATCAGGAGAGTATTTGTTTTATTTGAGTTGGGTTGACGAATAGAAATACCAAGCAAACAAACCGCTTCAAAATGTCGGAAATTGAAGTGTGTCAGTTGGCTTATAATGGCCAATTTGAGCTTTTGAGACAGAAAATCAACGCAAACAAAAACCTTGCAACGAAGAAAGATCAGGTAAAATGTCTAAGGAGACGCGTAGTTGGGTTTTTAATGATTTCTTCTTATAATCCGCTGTGTTGTTTACCGGAGTTTTGTCGATTAGGTGATGACATAGCCCTTTTTGCATTCGGTCAGGACACGTGGTTTTGTTTACAATAACATAGCGTAAAAGTAATATAGATGTAGTATAATACCGGTCCGCTGTTTGAGCTTTGACTGCTAGAAGTGGGTTATTATGGGATCGGGACATTATAGGCTTGGGTATCGCCATTTAGATTATTAGTAAATCCAGACGTCCAAATGAAATTGTTAGGGCGAAATTCGATTGTAGGTCGCACCAAAGAGCTACGGAACCGCAGCTAAGGATAGGGATCCTTGAGTCCTTTTTACAATAGTAAAGGAATGTTTCTTAGATTGTTGGGACAGATGCAGGATGTTTAGTTTGGGAGGAGAGGCATCTTTACAATGACGTCATTGGTGCACTGCATTGTGGTATATTTGTGTATGAGTAGCAACGGTTTTAGTTTGGATTGTGCTCATATTAGCCAAGTAAATTTATTCAAACATCTCCAAAAGAATGGCGTAGTCAAACTTTGGTCTCTGTGGCAACTATTTCCTGGCTTGTGCAAAAACACATCTGTCATCAATTGGGATTACGGTAGTAATGTAATTCTGTCAAAACAATCCAAATAAAACAAAAAACTAAGCAAAAGAAATGTTTTCTGTTAAGTGAAGTCATAATGATCTGTTTGTATTTCTACTTTTTTTGAGTATCACTAAGATGTTTAAGCGCTCACCGCAGGTGCACATTAAGAATACAAGAATATTCAAATTGGTCTGTGGCAGAGACCGATTCAGTATGTTCCAGTCGTTGCTGAGAGAATGAGTCACCCACAGACAGAGGCAAAATCTAAGCAACATTTTCAGACTATTGTGAGAGAATCAACAGACCCATTAAACAATAGAAAGTTCAGCCCAGAAGCCAATCTGATCATTTTTTGCCAATATGTTTATAATTATTTCTGTTTTCATTTCTGTTATTTTATTTTATTATTTATTTGCTGGCTGTTTTTGTATAAGTTTTTGTAATCATGAAAGGCCACAAGGTGGAATTTATCTTGAACACATTTTCTAGAGTCAGTGAAAATCAGATAGTTTTGTAGCATTGTATCATTGGGGTCATGTGGTTTTAAGTGACTTTTGTGAGTTTTTGCTTTCACAAATAATATCCTGAAATCACTAAAATTTCTAGAAGTGAAAATTAAACGATTTACAATAGTTAAACAACTGTGGTTTTAGTAAGATATAAAATAATAAAACCAAAAATTTAGTAAAATTAAAATACATGTACGATATAAACATATTTGTTTCAAAAATATGATGTTATTTCAGACTAAAATCGGTAGTAGATTACCTTGAGAAAATAAAAATATATATATATTTAAATAAACTTTTATTTATATTAAAGCTAATTTGTTTGCTTTGCACATTTTTCATTGTGTACAGTCTGATGATGGGTTTTGAATCTAAGGCTGAATCATATGGTTGTCATGGAAACTTGTAGGTGATGCATTTATTCTTCCAATAATGTAAAACTTTCATCTGTCTATTGCAGTCAAATCGTATGCCGCTACATTGGTCTGTCTCAGCCGGTCATAAGGACATATCAGAGTACCTTCTCAATTTGGGAGTACCAGTGGATGAAAGTGATGATGTGAGTTTATAATAGATGAATACATTTTTGTATAAAAATAAAAATAAATATTTCATTTTATATTACAAATGTATATTATAATGAGAATGATACACCTTTCTATTTGTCATGATCTTTAGTGATGAATTGTGTGTAGGGATGCAAATATGAGGGTGTAGTAAATGATAAATTTCTTCCTGTGCATAATGTTGGTGGGTTATTTCAGTTGTTTCTGTCTTCTTTTAGGCTCTGTGGTACTTACATTTTGAGTTCAGTGCTCTGTCTTATGTCGTTTCAAATGTCATGCAAAGACAGACTATAATGGTATATGTATGCACATCAGTTTGTTTCTGTATGCTATATCTTGCCCCCCCCCCCCCCCCCTAAGAAAAAAAAAAACATTTCATGTTATCAACATTTTTTTGGCTGATTTCTTTCGAATTTAATTGATGACATGACACATGGTGGATTTACTGATTGATGTACTTCTGTTCTGCAATTTGATTGAAAAAGACAGAAAATTTTTCTTTTATGAATCTTCAACACATTTCTAAATTGAAATTCAAAAGTCTTTTTTTTAGTGATATTAAAGTGGTTCACAGAATTCTCACAACTCTCGCTGACCTGAAAACCACAAAATGTCAACATTACTTCATAATATGATTGTCATCCCAATTTTCTGGTAATTGAGGTACTGTAAATGCATTAATTTTAACTGCAATTTAATGTTCACTGTTTTCATATTTTGAGGATATTCACTGGGTTTTAAATTCATTTATTTGCAAGTGAAACTAGAAAATTATTAATTGTTATCTTTTGTTTGCATGGATTTAATTTAATGTATTTCATTTATCAGAAAAAATAGTAAAATTAAAACACAGTGAAAAATTAATGCCTTTACAGTACATGCCTTTACTGATGTAGTAGGAATGGTAATGTTATGACTATCAGTAGAGTACTTGCACAACATTGTAGCATGAATAATTAAACAATCCGCAGTCAAGCTGGGAAAAGTGATCTAATTTTATATGAGTGATGAGAGAAAGTTATAAACTAGAATGGTTTGGTTATTTGTAAGTCATGTATTGTATCATTTAAATAGGCCTATATGTTATCAATTTATTACTACTCAATGGGACATTGAATTGTACATCTGGTGATTGTGGGGACGACAATGGTGAAAAACACTGCCAAGCCAAAACATAATTACCAGTATGTTAAAAATTTGTAAGGAAGTAATTTTTTCAGAAACAAGTTGGAGATTTACCAAATTAATGTTTATACTTCCATGTACTGAGAAGAATAAGTGGATACTATTTGAACAGTGCCATATTGGATGAGGAAATAGTTCTGTGGCAAGATAATGTATGAGATGAAACACATTGTCACTTCTAGACCCATTGCTGAATTCACTAGGGCACTGTCGGGGGGTCATTATTGTTATTCTAAATCACCACCACCACCACCATTGTTAAAATTAATTTACGAGTTAGTAGAAGATTACATTAAGGTGACATGTAAAGCTATGATGTCATAAAAACCTCTGATATTGGTGGTGATTTACATTGGTCATATATAATCAATATAATAGGCCAAACATTACTGTTTTTTCCAAAATTAATCTTGCCGTTTTCAGTAATAATTATAAATGTGCATGTAGCAAATCTCACCTTTTAAGAATATACATGTAGATACTAATTTATTGATGACTGCAGGTACAGACAAAATAAATTTAAAAAATGATGTGGTGAAGGCATCTGTACATCTGTACAACCATCAAGACATGGTCACCACTCACTGCCTGCCTTATTGCTTTCAAATGTGTGCAATGTACAAATAGGTTGAATAATGTGCACATGAACAGTTTCATGATGATAACACAGTGCAAATCACAGTGCAATAATAATGAGTGTTTTTACATTAATTTAAGCCTTTACTACACATGTTGTATTGCTTTCTATTACAAATATCTTGTTTGATTTCTCTAGTCTGAGTGGACCCCTCTACACATTGCAGCATCAGCTGGGAGGTATGACATTGTAGTGGCATTACTTGGTAGAGGCGCGAAGGTGAATGCTGTCAATCAGACCGGCCAAGTACCATTGCATTACGCAGCATCCAGAGATAGAATTGATGTAAGTAATATCTGTATTAGAAGCCACAGCTTAAAATTAAAATAATCCAATGCAACAGAGGGGATGCAGCTTCTATGAGTGCAACAACACGTATGAGAAATCGTTAATTTTTTGTTCTTGTTGGTTCACAAAGAATTGGTGCAGCTTCTATTATGGATGCATCTTCTAAGACAGATTTTAAGAGTAATTGTTTCAATCCAGGACTCACAGTATAGACCATTATATACAAACATGGCATTGGAATAAATGAGCAAACAGTCACCAACTTTAATTACACAGTTTTTTGATATTCACAGTTGCTATACAGTCGCTAAAAGGGAAGTACCAGATAGACTTTAACAACAATGGTGATCTCATATTATATACCCAAAAGCCACATGAACTACGCAATAGTTTGGAAACTGGATTCAGTTATATAAGATAAAAGCTGTCACTCTGTCACAACAATTGGCTGCATCATGACGAATACAAATGTGTGCTTTTGATCGGTATAATTTACAATCTTTTTAGAGTCGCCATCAGTCAGCATAATCATTAACCTAGAAAGTAAATATAAATGTTCACTCAAATATGCAGTTGCAGTACTAGAATCAAATTGAGCAGGGTGGAATCTGAAGGCTGAACAAGAAAACCAAAAAGTTGCATTCACATTGCGTTGCATATGAATTTTGTAGAGAATCCTACAAATGGTAACCACCTAAGATTTTGAAAACTCATGGCTTGGTAACCCCCTAAAATTTTGAAAACTCATGGCTTGGTAACCCCCTAACCCCCTAAGACGCTGAAAACTCATGACTTGGTAACCCCCTAAGATGCTGAAAACTCATGGCTTGGTAACCTCCTAAGATGCTGAAAACGTATGTATAGAAATGGTTGGTCATCTCTGACTCATGATATCTTGTCAATACAGTACAAGCTGCATCTAGTATATACCATACAGTAATGTAAATTATACCAGGGTTCTTTCAATAACAAGATTTTAATATTTAACACAGATTACAGAACTGCTACTTGATCATGGTGCCGATCCAAACAGGTTTGACAAGTTGAGTGCCACACCTCTGCATCGAGCAGCTTCCAAGGGGAATTATAAGATCATTGATTTGTTAATTAAAAATAACGCTGAAGTTGAAGCAGTGGATTGTGAAGGAAATACACCAATGTAAGTTATGACAAATTCTATGAGACTGTTTTAGCATAATTAATACCAATTCAGGTTCAGGATTTTATTTTGTACAGTGTGCCCTCTTAAAAGGATAGATTTTGTAAGAATCCTGAGTCTAAATAGAATCCCCTCAAAATCAAGAGGAGTCAACTTAAATGCTGGGGAGGTTTGTCTTCAAGAAAAAACAAGTTGTATGTGATGACTGTACATGTGATTTAAGGTGCAAACAGAAATATTGTGGCCCCTGATTTTCTTTATTTTAAGTGACAGTGGCATGTCATATCGACTTAGCGGGTACACTGATTGTGACTGTGTTTGGGTTTGAATTATATTCACATGAACTTGACCTTTAGAATACTTCAAAATTTTTGGTAAAACATTTATCAAAATGTGATGTACTGAATCATACAAACTTTGAATCATATTATGTATTGGTCACTGGTAGCATATTGGTTGTCGCATCAGACTCATGAGCGGTAGACCCAAGTTCAAATCCTACCTTAGGCTGAACATCAAATGGTCGACCCCTACCCTGGGTGAGTGTGCCACAGACTCAATGGGAAGGCCAATTCCACTGGCCGAGATTCATTCACTAATGAGTGCGACTTTGGGGGAACCTTGGTTAAGGTCCGCAGGTGCTTGTGTTCGACCGGGTCTGGTTGACGCATTACAGGATAGCGCATTACAAATTGCCATTTGACAGAGAGATAGCCACACAGCCCTGTCATGTAGTCCCAAACATGAATATGACTTCTGTGGCAAAATGCACTATGTGTCGTCACTAGCACTTGCAATTTGCACATACAAAAAAAAAAGTCAGGAGAGACAACAGTGATACTCAAATGTATTGGCTCAGAAACACCCAAAGCATAGAAAAAACAGGGAGCTTTCACACTTGACTTATTGTTCATTTGTCATTTTGAGCACCACCACTTTTTACATATCAATACACTTGGGTGGTCAGGTGACATATAACACCATTAGAAAATTATGCTTCTGAAGTAACCGTGTTCTGACGCATAAAATAATATAGTCCCTAAATTGCCACAATGCAATTAATTCATAGTGGGTATGAACTTCCATAAATGCATTCTTTTTTTTGTGAATTCAACAAGTACAATCATGAACCCATATGCAGAACATTCTAATCCTCAGTGCGCATAACATGTCAGAGTATTTTGTCACGTAGAGATTTATTGTCAAAGGAGAAATATTCTCTCCAATTTTAGTGCAGGGGGTTTCACTGGGTTTAAGTTTAGCACATTTAGCTATCGGTGAAAATAAAACCCAGGTGATAATTGAACCCTATACTGTATTATGAAATATCAGCAACTGTCTCATTTTGTATGAATGGAAGAATGTGACGAATTTAGGAGTTTGCCCACATTGTTCAGTTGTAACCAAGCAATATAAATTTTAATGCATTACTAAAATCATTGATTTATAAGATAAGGATATGTAACTTTCATAACCATACACAATGATATGAGATGAAGATTTCATGAGAAGCAAACTCTCGCACTTTGCAAGCATTTGAAATTGATTCCATTCAGTATGCATCATTTGAAGGTATTTCTAGCTAATAGCATCACAGAATGAAATGGATGTTTGGGTTTGTTTATGTGAAAAGAAATGAGCGAGATTATCACCGTACTTGAACACGTGTATTACATGCTTTGCAATTAAGCAACAACGCTATTAAAAACAATCTGTGATAACTTATTGCACATGTCTGTCTTGCGAATTTATGATCAGCTTCCTCATGAGGCTTCTTCAATTTACTCGACCTTCATGGCATATCACACCACTAGCATGCCATATCATTTTATAAATGCCTGCAGAGATCTAAAAAAAAAATTCTACTATGTTTGTTTGACAGACATTTAGCATGTGAAGAAAACAGAACAGACGAAGCTAAACTATTACTAGAACATGGAGCAAGTCTGTACACACTTAATAAGGTATATATTAGTCTGCAGAAAAGATGGCTGATTTGAAAATCACGTGGCTCTTTGAATTCATTCTTTCAGTCTGAGACTTTTCTGAACTATTTATTCTTTTGAGCATCAAATGGTTTCCCGTCGAAATTTTGGTCCAACATTTTGCATATTTTTTATGTATTTTCTATAATTTCTTTATTAATTTTGTACCAAATGGACGTCATTTATTATTGGCTACAGGTTTTGATGAACATTTTTGAAAAATTCTGAAAGAAATTATGCAGTTTGAAAGAAAGATGTCAAAAGATGACTGTACTGTTAAAAGGTCAAATGTCGTAAACCGATTAAATATTTGCGACCAGAAATTGATATTTTGATGGTATTTTGATGTTTTTATTGCAGGAGGAGAAATCCCCCCTCGATTTAGCACCTGCTGGGTTACGAAAAACACTTGAACGACTTAATCAAGGATAGAAGCAAGTCAAGCTGTTGAATCGTCTTTATAAACAATGAACACACATGGAGATTGGATATCCATTGCATAGTTGCCATTCAATAACAAGCTTTTATCTCACATGCCTTTGTGAAACCTTTTTGTCAGTTAATCGTTACAGCCATTATTTTAATGTTTGCATATTAATATCATCCAAAAGAACACAGTAGTAATATTATCATAATATGTGTGTTTGTACATATATCTAGAAAACTCAACTTGGATACCAAATAAGACTGGTAAAGTAATACAATTAGATAAGGAAATAATATAACATTATTTTGAAGGATGATGTCCCATGAATTTTGTGATTGGCTTAAAGATTATTTCCAATCAATTTCCAATTTTTGGGTAATAAAAGAATAATAGTTTTGTGGAGATAAGTATATGTCAAGTCATTTATGTTTGACAGACGATTACAGGAAGTATTTGGGCAGCCATTTTGCAAACTCTGTTGTGAATTGGTTAACTGCTTGGGTTTTGACTGAACAGTTGGCTTTTGAATATCGATGGCACTAATTTGTGGCCACGTCCACTCTGGGTAAGTCTATATTGCAGTAGGAAACACAGAATGCTTTTACATAGCCTGGCGCATGTTTTGGATTTCACATTTCAAAGGTCATTTGCTGTATTATGCGAGAGTCGACGTGATAATGTAAAAGTAGTTTACAATTACAAAATTGGTAGCTATAAGTAAGAGTAATTTAAAAAATCTGCTCACCTGATCCTATCATATAATGAGGCGTTTTGTCATAATCGCGCATTTCCCTGGTCAGAAGAACCAGTCAGCTAGTGTACAAGTGAAAATAAGATAACCCATTGAGCGCCAAGGCCAACTTTTGTCACCAATCAACTTGCATCTTTTTTTTCTTACCATATTTTTTCCACAATTAATAGTAAGACCTCTAAACAATGAGGAATTATGTCTATTTGGTCCAAAATTAACTAAACAATTTATAAAAAATATCCATTTTCACGAGAACACTATAGCATTCAAAATAATAAAGAAAATTAAAAATGTTTCATTTATATGGATTTTATGGACATTTGTCATTTCAGTTGTCGCTGATGTCTCTGATCACTGGCCCTCCAGACACCCCCTCCTGACTATAAATACAAACATTTCCACACGAGTTTGAAGAAACTCAGATTAGAATGCAAATGTCGGATAATTGTTAGATACAGACTGGAGAACAGTGTGTGCTGCCACAAAGTTTTACTGATACATTCTTATTTATTGTGCTTTTTGTTAATTTTTATGGAACAACAATATACAGACCAGTGGCAAATTAAATAACTATTTTACCGTAATACACTTATTCTCATTAGAGAGAAATTTGTTTGTGTCATACACAATTTGTTATGCTACAAAGTTGCTTTTCGTACTAATGTACACTAATTTTGATTAGAGGACACTATTTCAGTGCCGCAGTACACTGATAGTCACGAGAGAACACTTATAGTATGATTGTTGCTAAAAAATGCTATTTCAGAACAATTGCACTGCTAAAACAACTGTCACTAATGAGTGCCAGCAGTATGGAAAAAAATTCAGTTTTGAATGATGCACAGGATTGTCAGGAACTAATTTATTTATCGATCAAAATAAAATGTACATATTTATCAGTACTTGCAAAGCTAGTCATCATTAACTGACAATCTGTACGTGTATTACCAGCAATAGATAAGCATCTTTATAAATATTAAGGCCCGGAATAAAAATTTAATCTCAACACATTCGGTGTTCCACGAGGCCCTTTGAGTAATGCAGCTAACAAATGAATATATTCAACTTTCATAAAATCAATGTGTAATCAAAATAAATATTAGAAATCAGGAATAGACCTTTTTTCTTTCAGAATAACATCTTTTTTTAAGAAGATCATTATTCCCTGTCAATTTCTCCACCCCACC